AATTATTTTGTGCGTGTCCAACTTACTTTACCGCGTAACATGGGTCAAGATGCTTGCATGGTTTCATTATGGGCTAGTACGGAATGTTGCCATGTATTGTTTCTCAGAATAATTTTATTTGTCAAAATTAAATAACAATTTAGATCAATATATTATTATATCATACATTATTATCACAACATACTAGAAGAATAATTTAGAAATTACAATGTAGATCAATAAAGTTATTTGAAACCTATTATAAATAAACTCATATTCGAAATAAAAATATTAGACTATAAGTTGAAACGAATGGAAACAAGTTGCGTGGGATTGTGATAAATTATTTTATGTTTTCCGTTTCCATGTCCGTGATAATACAATATTAGTTAATATGGGTGCTCGTCTGTTAATACTTTGAGAACCTATGACATAGTTCTAACCGCTCAGCTCACGCTTGTAATCTACTAAGACTCGTGTCTTACGTATCAAGGACCTTCGTTTATCTCTTTGCCAAATAAGGCTGAGCATAGACGACAGATATTTTACACGTTAGATAAAAAAACGGCAATTGCCTACACAATAGGATTTTGACAGCACAGTGGTTAATGCTTTCTGTGATACACTGGTTAAGCAACTTTCGCAAAGGTCGGTTATAGGATGGGTGACCAAATATTATATCGAGCTTCAGAAGGCACGTCAGGCCTTTGGTCCCGGCTGTGTAGGTAATCGCTAACATCACTATGCCAGCGTGGTGAGCCAATAACTGTTTTTTCTATTCGATTAAATTCATAGGGACAGCAGTGGGAAAATAAATACAATTAGCCGGTCTACTTACACTGCTCAAAATAGTGAACAAATGATGGTAATGCCATTGATGTCCGAATTTGTTTCATCCAGGTGTCGCTAGTGTGATTGGAGGTCAAACGATAAATGGGCGCCATTTTGAGAAAGTGTAAGAACCTATATCGCGTAATTTAAACATTTTAATTAATAATTGTGAAAATAACATTGTTAGAAATAAATTGAACGAACAAATGAATGCTAAAAACCTTTATTCAAATAAGTTTATTCCAAGGACTTTTGAATCTTTCTAATTTTTTTTCAGGTGCAGGATGTCTTTTATCTGACAAGAAGAACAAACGAAGAACGTGAACTAATATTCAGAAAACATGAAATAAGAAGGATACATCCGTATATAATAATAAAACTTTATTATATTATAGTTATTCCTTCCTCAAATGACATAATTACGACTTAAACTAAGTTGTAATGAAAGCGAAATTCGCTCTAAGCTCAAATTCCTTGAGCGACTTAAATGGCTTTATTAACGGAGTTTTAATATTTCGGGGAAGCTTAATTTAGACAATGAAATATCTGTATAAAGAACAAAACAATTAATGTCTCAATTAACGTACAATAAATTATTGTTTGCGTTGGCGAACGCAATGTTTCTATACAATGAGATGATGAAAGCCGCGTTTATAATTCGAATAACAATATCTTGAAATGGTTTTCAGATATACGTTAAAAATCAATAGGTTTTCTTACGAGAATTCAAGACGAATAAAGAAGTTTGAAAAAGTTTGAGAGATTCGTAGACTTTTTGATTCATGTAAAATTCCAAGTCACCCCACTGAACGATTTTCTTAATATTTTTTAAGGCGCACTACCAGTGGAATTCCCTACTGGTATCTATATTTCTAAGTACTAGACCTATTATTCTGTTTCTTGAAAAGCGAAATATTATCTATTTTCGAAACTCTACTATTTTTAAGATAATCGTCATGTATATTTTAGTAAATACTTCGAAATTTTATCCACCTTATTATTTTAATAAATATTTAATTTTTGCTTTCACAATTCTATTTTGAAATTATGTTAAAGGAAAATACACACAAACATTTCGGGCAAATGAAACTAGAGACAAGATTTTTAAAGTAATATGTTTGTAAGGGTTTGAAATGTCGATATATTTTGAAAAGTGAGTCTTTAGCCCAAAAAAATCACGAGTCCCTTGTCTATACCCATTTATGGTGGACCACAATATGTGGTGAACACAATTTAAGGGGTATTACATTGTTTTCTTAATTTAATTTCAATAAGCGAGGTCCTTACAACAGCGAGCTGAACACAAAATACCAAGGACAGATCGAGCGAGTGAAGCGAGTCCCTTACAACAGCGAGCTAAACACAAATACTTTAGACGGTTTGAGCGAGCGGAGACTCGCTGCCGATCGCTGTTTAAAAGAGGCTAGCCATGTATTTACTCGATATCTTCTATTAGTTTGTTGTGTCTATAGAGTAACATATGTATTTTTTTTATTGGAACCATTACAAGAGACGAAAGCGTGAGTATCTGTATTTATAATTTCAAGATACGCGACGGTTACTCTATTTGTTTCCACACAATATAATATTGTACAGCTTAATTGGATTTACGAGGCATCACGGTCTACAACTTAACGCAAAATCAAACAATTCTCATTTCGCATTGATAAAATTACAGAGTAATTGATCATTGCCTCGAGAAATTGGATTTCTGTGATCGAACAATCAATTTGCATGTGCTGTAATATATTATAGGCTTTTAATATGGGTCGCTTTACTTTGTCGAAGATCAAATGGTGTATTTCATGAATAATTAATTTCGCGTTTGAAAAATTACACACCAACTTTAATAAGAGCAGTTTTTGTCACTTGTTTGGGTTCAGTAACTTAAGTGGAACCCATAGGTTCACTCGTTTGTTTGCCGTCTGTCCGTCCGTCGCAGCCTTCACATAGAAACTACTGGATTGATCGTGCAATGTAAATAAATAGGTTTTGAAATATCACGTGCAGGACTTTATGCGTATTAGACGCGATTTGTCATACATTACTTGTAGGGAAGGACTTAGTGTTACAAATAAATAAAAAGTTTGTGGTAATAAATAATTTGCAGTAGAATCTCTCTTCTTTATCCCGAACTACCGTAGCATACAAATGACCTATTATATATAAAGTAATAAAATATAATTTTGCCAAACAACTTAGTCCCCATTGGTAATGCCTCAAAATGAATTCCGTGGGTACCCAATTAAGCAATATTTGTTTAGGACTAAACAAATTTATGATAGATACAAATGTTTAAAAACTCATAGAGGTGCGGTGCCTCACAAAATGCGGTTAATAGACTCACGTACAGACAATTTCGTGTTACTAATCAAACATCACTATATTATCAGTTGTGTCAATGAATTGAAACAAAAGAAACACAAAGTCGCTTCCCGCTGTCAGTACGCTAAGGTCTTTGAAAGTACATAAAACCTAACTATCCAAATCTATCGGGTCTTATACAATCTAATATAACGGATTTTGACGCGATTTCGTTAATATATAGAGTGATTCGAGTGGAAGGTCTATATATTTTTTAAATATAATTACTTCTACTAAGTCTAAAACTGATAATATGTGGTATTATCAGGTTTAGATTTAGTTTTAGTTCTAAGTCTAAAACTAATAATATATAGAATTATAAGTTTTAGACTTCAAATTATTTTTTATGTATAAATCTATACAAATAAATAAAATTGTAGTGTCTGTTTCTAATATTAAAACAACCGCATTTTACTAAATCACGTATGTATACACGGAACATATATAGAAATAACATTTTTTGTCTGTTTGTTCCGGCTAACGGCTGGACAAATTATGACGGGACTTTGGCAGTTAGCTTATGTAATAAGGAGTAACGTAGGCGACTTTCCACGCGGACGAAGTCGCGAACACGTCCCAGGTGCTCAACACGGGCTTTGAACCTGTGTCCCTTCGTCGATGGGGCGACTGTTCTAACTAATTCAGTTACTCGAGCCTTTAGCGAGGCTATCGAACATATAAAATTGTTGTTTTGCTACTTTAGATTTTTTCCTAGCCAAATAAAAAAATCTAATATACTCGTAATATTAAAAAAATATTTGAATGCTTAGTTAAGTTCGTCCGTCCAAGGAAACCGACGTAGATAACTCTGCATTTGTACATCAAAGGGCTTGAAAATGACAGCTTTCCTGGAATATCTTGGTACAAATTTCATAACTCGCCAGCATGACGTCATTACTTTATTATTACGTAGTCTAACTAAGCTATACTTACAAACGAGATTATATGATTCAATTAATATTATTCTGAATGTACTAAAGGTATTCATGTGTAGATAGGCTGTTTAGAATTGTAAAATCGGCACACATCTGTATTTTTTCTTTATTGCCTTGTCGAGAATAACAAAAAGAAAAACCATTTATTAACTTATATTGTTCTGTGTCGGGTCGCTCTTGACAGTTTTCATGAGATTAGGTGGCTGATCTAATCTTCTTACAATTTCTCGCCATCTTAATCTAATGGCTGACATCCAAGTTTGTGTAGAGCGTCTCCAACTGTTGATTTTATTTGGTCTTTCACGTGTCCTATTTCCTTCTTTATATATTATTTTAAAATGTTAATAAGAATACCTGTCGAATTAACTATTATAGATTATGCGTTTTCTCCAGGATCTCTTTTAGGGCCGATAGTTTTTGTGATTTTAATAATGTCAAAATTACTTTAAACTGCGCCTAGTTAAACATAAACATGAAAATAAATATTATTAGAAAAATCTATGCAAAAGGTGGCCTTATTGCTAATCTCTACCAGGCTACCCTTGGCTAAAAGAAGCTATACCGATTGAATAAAGAGACTGCGGGCTAGTGTATTACTGTAATACATTTACTAATATAATTAATATAGATATATATATATATATATATATATATATATATATATACAAAACAGAAAAAAAATGAAATGAATGAAAAAAATGAATCCAGCTTGAGGAAATGTTCCTTGACATATTTAATAAAAAACTCTCGTGATTGTGCGCGTCTGATATCTGTACGTTTTTCTCCGTGTATTATTGTAATAATGATATTTTTAAGTAGTTTGCGTGAAAACATAAGAAACGAGTAAACAATGTAATATTAATTAACTAATGAATTACTCGATGGTCTTACCTCGTTAAATCTTCTGATCAGAGCTCGTACGGTGCTCCTAGCTTGCTGTGTGTGGGTTGGAGGTGCTCTCCTTATCATATGGCGCTCTGTGACGGCTCCTAATACGCCTTCGCCCCCTAGATCTAACGTTACTTGCCGAAGATAGTCGATAGGTGGCACCTGTTAAAGGAAAATAACACTAACTTTCATTTAAATTCTAACTTTGATGAAATTATGACTTTATTGAGGACATCTAAGGATAACTTTGACTACCATAGATTTTATACAACCTGTATATCAATATAATAGTACGTATTATTTCATAGGTTCTCTTGTTATGGATTTTTTATGCATTGATGAGTAAATACAATTTATGTGTTAACAGAGAGGACAATATACTTCGGTGTAATATCTGCTTCCATGTGCTCTGTCTGCGTCAAAGGCATGACCTTTATTAAAATATTTATTTAATTTGACGTGTTTGGTAGTGTGAGTCAAATCTTGTAAGCTAAAGATCCACTTTCCCCTTTTCGATTAAGCTGAAATTTCATGCATTCAATAATCATATAATTATAATTTAGATAACGATGCAATGTTAATATAGAATGAAGTTGACCTGTTAATGGAGGCGCAAAGTAGCTATGGACCTATGTAATTAAACGAAGCAACTATGGAGATTGGGCTTATTTTATTTGTCTTGAGAAAGACAAATAAAACAATGTCTTGGCCTGAAAAGATAATACGCAGTCTGGTGATGGAACTGGAAGGTGGTTATTATGCAATCCTATTCAGTGCGGGCTCGTTTGATTTGTCTACACAAATCTTTGATATAACATTATATACTGCGAAAGCTTGTTATTCATACAAAAAAAAAAAAAAAATTAACCATTTTCCGATATAAAAATATGTCCTCTGCACCATACCTTAAGGTAAGGTACAAGTTACATAAAAATGAGCCATTTGGATGCGTCGTGTGTGTTTTCTGCGTGCCTACGTCTACGAACTGATATATCACCGCAGTTCGTGTAAGCTTGTGTAAATAATATATTTCCCAAAAACATTGTGATACAAGGGTATTGATGAAAATCCATATTAGCTAGTATTTTACATATTAAAATAAAATAAAATTATCATTATAATCAAATTGAATTGGGAGAATGGGCCATTACGCGAGCCCAGTGCAGATTGATGGGTATTAATGACTACAGGTTCAGAACTAACAGCTTAACGTGCTTCCGAAGCACGGAGTTTGAAATAATAAATTTTTGGACACCTATCCTATGACCAGCCTACGCTAAAATTGCATAACAACCGAATCGAGCTCCTCCAAAAATATGATACTTATATAAAAATAAATAAAATCATCTTTCGATTGATTTGATGTTTTTACACCTTACCTTAAATAGCGGTTAAAATATTTTCACATCGTACAAGAACTATTTATATTATAGCTCGACCTTTAGCCAGTTATCAAATTATAGATGAAACGAAATTGGTTTTCGGGAACATTAGACATTCTAAGTTAAGAACTTATGAATTATATGTTATTGCTGTGTTATATGTTTCTACAAATGTTACCTTTTACATTTGCACTGGTATTGATTTTGACTTTAGAATAAACTGTCTGTACTAATAATATTGCATAAGAGTCTCGTTATATATCGGGCGGATGGAGAGACACTGGAACTGTTGCCTATTTTCTATTAGGGTAAAAGCCAGATAGTTGGTAATTTTTCAAAAAAGCTCTGTTACTAATGCTACGTGCTTATTAATGTTGAATTCGGAGTGTATATCAAAACATAGGCTATCGACTTTCTATAAAAGTTCGTTTTGATAATATAAATTTCATGAGTTTTGAGTAAATTTTGTTTTATTTGACCTCTAAAAAGGGGGATCCTCGCCGACTATAGCGATTGTAGCCTAGCATTGAATATGCTCCGAAGTGTAACGGTGCTTCGTACCATCCGTTTATTACGTAAGATGGTTGCATTTTTGGTCTCTAATCTATGTAAGTTTGAGTTGGCCGAACCCTACTTTTAAATTCTAAAACAACACTTCTTCTAGTGTAATCTTTTCTCTTTGTGCTCTTTTATTTGGTTCACTCTTTGCTCATTTACACAAAAAGTTTGCATGCGGAAATCTAGGACGAAATAAACGGTGGTACAATGCACCGTTACAGAGGGATACTTGCCTCACGTAAGGATAGATGTCTTTTTTCTAGATAGAAACCAATTTCTCTTTATTATAGTCGGAATTCTTTATTTACTGATATAGTTTATAAAATACACTCCAATCCACATTGGGCCAGCGTGGAGGGTCACGGCCCATCTTCCTTAACCTTCCATAAGGAAGGTCTGAGACCCTGCAGTGGGAACGTAAGATGCTCTTTTATAAAGTACACATCAAAGCTTAATAATCTTACCTATAATATAAATGCGAATGTTTGTATGTATGTATATTTGTTAATATTCATGCTAAAACTACTGAATGGATATAAATTTTGCAGTCAGTATATCAGTAAAAATTGGTTATGAGCAAAATAAAAAATTTAGCTTATTTCTTTTCTGTTGAGACCCTTCCCTCTTTAAAAAGCTAAACTTTCCATTTCTCTTAAAATTATTTCAAAATTTTTGATTTCAAGCTTTGCATTATTCACTCTCAGTCTTTTTCGGGAACAGCCAGATTTTAGTTTAATTTTTTAAATTGTGTTTTAACTCTTACTTTTATTACCCTTAATTTAATTTATAAGCTTATTGGCGAATTATTGTTCTGTTACTGGTTTAAGAATTTATAGTTGGGGATAGTTACCCTCAGGGTTGAGCCATGTGTTTTGTAGTGTTTGTGAAGTGAAGTCTTGTAGACTTAGAGCGTGTAGAGTTAGAATCTTGACTCTACGAGATCTGATAACTTTTAGATAGTGCGAGTCATATGATCTCGGCTTGGCTACACTTTACATGAAAATGTTTTTGGTGGGATTGTCTAATTCAAAATGGCGACTAAACTTAGTACTGTTAATTGGTGCCAAGCCCCCGTATCCTGTGTTAATTGCGGGTGAACCTTCGTGTAACTAACTTAATTCGTACAAACAAAGATTTTAAATATACCCTCCGGTTGCTATGACAACGGAACTTTGTGAGTGCTTACCGAAAAATAATAATTACAATTTTGCAGTAAAAGTAGTAACTGAACTTTGTCTTTATTATATACTTGTTTATCGTTTCTTCATATGCTATAGTGACTGTTTTTCTGTTTTGCTTTCACGCCGAAACCATTGAATTAAATTTAATGAAATTTGATACAGAGCTAGAGTTAACCTTGAGAAATAATATAAATTACCATCGTGAAAAAAGGGGTTAAAATAGGGGAAGAAAGTTTGTCTAGAAGTATAATATTGTTAAAGATAAAAAAAACTATAAATGTATTGTGCATTATTTGAATTTGTTTCCAAACTAGTGATTGCGTTTATATATTATAACTAGTTTTTGCTCGCGACTTCGCCCGCGTGGTCTAGCTTTAAGTCCAAAAATGAGAAAATTCCATAAAAAACTTTCATCCACTAAATTACCCCTTCAGGGGTCAAATTTCCTAAAATCCTGTCTTAGTGAGCACCTACATCCGAAAAAGAAACCGCAAGCAAAATTTGAAACTCTCAGCACTTGTAGTAACGAAGTTTCATACAAACCTAATTTAGCCCCTTCAGGGTGGAATTTTCAAAAATCCTTTCAAAGTCCTCTACACTCCCTAAGGAATCTCTATTCCAAATTTCAACTTTCTACGCTCAGTAGTTTTGGCTGTACGTTGTCTGTCATTCAGTCAGTCACTTAGTAACGCAAGAATTTAAATATACTCATAGAAATCAGCACATGTCTAAAATAAGGGCAAAATTGTTTATGAAGAATTAGCTTTTCACCAGCGGCTTCGCCCTCGTGGTCCTGTATTATACATAGAAACTTTCCTTGAATATTCCTGTATATTGATAAAAACATTAAAATCAGCTTTGTAGTTTAAAAGATCTCAACGTACAGACAGCGAGAACTTTGTTTAATTCTATATATCTATTAATAATAATCATTATTAGGGATGATGACTAATTTTTTTTTGTTTGTCCGTCAGGTAAAACACGTATTTTTTATTTTTTTCGTAATCATAAAATTACGGCGTTGCATGGAGTTGAAATTTCGCATAACGTCACGTTAGAGTACGTTTTCTACTCAACTGTGACGTAGCGAGCCCCCACTCCTCAACTCTAATGCCTGTTATCTAAGCTATTTCTTGTTAAATTGAAGTAAAAAATATACGTATCTAATATTTTTCAATTATCTGACTGACGGACTAAATAGAATTGTATTTTTTTTTACCCAGTCGTCATCTGTATTGCAGTTTTTATACGTAATAATACTATCTTTAAATATAAACTTAATACGTTATTATTATTAGTAACTAGCTTTCGCCAGCGGCTTTGCCCGTGTGGTCCCTAGGGAAACGTTTAGTGGGTTAAAAATGTATTATCTAAGTTAGCTAATACCCTATCTGTACACCAAATTTCATCAAAATCCGTTCAGTAATTTCGGCGTAATTGACGGACAAATACCAAACAAAGAAATTTTCACATTTATAATATTAAGAGGATTTCATTAGTAATTTGAAAATAATAGAGTTTGATGAAAGCTTCATGAAGGAAATAGGATACTTAAATACTAATTTCACGCAGCTTAAGCCGCGGGGAAAAACTAATCTATTAATAACAGAACAGTTTGTTTGTACGAAACAGTCTCTGAAAATATAATGCGGATTATATCGAGGTAAACTGTTAGGTATTTTAGAGAGCATCTAACTGAAAATAATTAATTTCAATTTTCTTAAAACCAACTGATAATGTTTACGTAAAAATAGGCAATTCGACCCCTAAGGGGGTAAATTCGGGGATGAAAGTTTGTATGAAACTCTGTTATTACAAGTGCTAGGACTTTAAAATTTTCGATGCAGGTTCTTTTTAGGACGTAGGTACTCACTAGGATGGGATTTTACGAAATTCGATCCGTAAAGAGGTAAATTAGGGGATGAAAGTTTTTATAGAATTTCCTTATTTCTGGACTTAAAACTAGGAGACGCGGGCGAAGACGCGTGCAAAAGCTAGTATTATATAAAGTCAAAATATACTGTAATTTATACATAGTGTAAAACAAAGTCGCTTCACGCTGTCTGTTCGCTAAGATCTGTTAGATTATATAACGGATTCAATATAAGATTTATATGTACAATACAGGAGCACGCTTATGTAAACTTAGAATAAGTCAGTATATCAGCAATAAGTCTTAATCAACATACAGGAATCGAATTCGGGACCACTGTGCTGCTCTTGCGGTTGGCGTTCGGGGCCACCCGAATTAACATATCATCGATTTTATTTCTTTTCTTTTTATTATTTTTATTGTCGGAATCTTTCCGAAATTTTTAAAATCATTAAGCCCCTATGGGGCCCCCTCGGACTCCAAGAAACAGCTTGCCGGAGCCGAGGTTTTTGCACCGTGTAAATACGGGAGTTCGGTTTCCGCGAAGGCGAAGTGCCTACACCGACCACCATCGTACGTTATATCACTGATATTATTTCTTTTTTTTTTTCTAATCATTTTTATTTGTCGGAATCTTTCCGAAATTTAAAATCACCAAGCCCCTACGGGGCCCCCTCGGACTCCAAGTAACAGCTCGTCGGAGCCGAGGTTTCTGCACCGTGTAAATACGGGATTTCGGTTTCCGCGAAGGCGAAGTGCCTACACCGATCACCATCGTACGTTATATCATTGATTTTATTTCTTTTTTTTTCTAATCATTTTTATTTGTCGGAATCTTTCCGAAATTTAAAATCATCAAGCCCCTACGGGGCCCCCTCGGACTCCAAGTAACAGCTCGTCGGAGCCGAGGTTTCTGCACCGTGTAAATACGGGAGTTCGGTTTCTGCGAAGGCGAAGTGCCTACACCGACCACCATCGCGCGTTACGATCAAGACGGCCCGGCCGACTCCGCTTCTCGCGATCGCCACACTTCGGTCTGGCTGGTGTGGGAAAGGGAGATGGCCCATCGCTGTCCGCGCACACTCTACCCAGGGCGACCACCGACCCCTCGTCTAGGGAAGTTGGAAACATTGTGGATTAATTTGATTATCTTACTACTAATTATACCATCTTTCATTTTTGCCATCTTAATTTTCAGGTCATATGGACCATAGTTTTCAGTAGTTCAGTATCCTTACATCCAATTAGAGTCGCCCTGGCACGGCGTGGTAGCGTCAACACAGGTTGACCCCGCTGTTTTCATTTGGGAGGACTCAGTGATCGCCCCCCCGTGCCGCGGCCGCCGCCGTTCGCGGGGGAGGGCGCGGGGCGGGGGGGCGGCCTTCGAGACCTCCCGACTCTTCATCCTCATCTTATATTCTACCAGTGCCGGTGCCCCCGGCGCCCGGTGACCCTAACCTCCTCTCTGGGTTGGGGCTGCCGGACGGCGGGGGGACCCCTCTTGCGGCACCATATATATCTTATTCATCTATATGTATTATCATCTATATATTCCTCATTTCATTTATATTAATATATATTTCTTTCCTATCTCAGGGGGAGGAACTTCCGGGTCCATCTAGAAGTTCGCCGGTCTCCTCCCCTTTTCTTCCGCGCCTCCCCTGCTTCTCAGGGGTTGGTACGATCCCCCCTCACAAGGGGGATCTAAAGCACTATTTTCTGGACCCTATGCCAAAATCAAGTCAGCTTAAGGAAAAAAAAAAAAAATACAGGAGCACGCAGGCGGAGCCGCAGGCGGAAAGCTAGTAGATAAAGAACTACATCATCAGTGTTACTGATAAACAAGGTTTAGCGTTGGTGTTAATTTACGGTGAGACAGCACTTACTAGTAGTCAAAATTCATATTATTAAACAGAGACTTAGCGAATGTTAACCTGGTACAAGGTTCTACGGTAGTAATATTTACTTCTAGAAGGTAGTAGGTGTGCTTATTCTCTGTATAATATGAATTCAGACCAAAAAATTACAAATTTTGCGTAAAAATAATCATCAGTCACTTAACCATGTCTTAATTCTTTTATTTTTTTAAATTTCATTTTATAACCCTGTATTGAGAATGTGCCGGACTAACAATGAATATACTCGCAATAGAACCGATCTAGACATATTTAAGCCAAGGTTAATATTATTATAGATGCAAAATTTCCCTAACTTCATTCACAGTAGCATTATTTTTTTTTTGTATTTTTTTTATATCAGCACTGTAATCATGTTGTGTACACTTATTAAGGATTGCCGTCTTGACTTATATTAACTGAATAATACTCTATAATATACCTAACGTAATGATTGTAATCTGTCAGTGTACATATAATAAATAAATAAATCAATTTATAATTGTCGTTACATGTATTTTTCTTTTATACTTTACACACCTTTACTACACATTATTATGTGTACGAGAAGTATTTGTACCACATAGGGATGATGACTAATTTTTGTTTGTTTGTCCGTCAGGTAGAGTGTTTAAAAAGATTAAACACGTATTTTTTTATTTTTTTCGTAATCATAAAATTACGGCGTTACATTGAGTTGAAATTTCGCATGACGTCACGTTAGGGTACGTTTTCTACTCAACTGTGATGTAGCGAGCCCCCACTCCTCAACTTTAATGCCTGTTATCTAAACTATTTCTTGTTAAATTGAAGTAAAAAAAATATGTATCTAATATTTTTCTATTATCTGACTGATGGACTAAATAGAATTGCGTTTTTTTTACCCAATCATCATCCCTATTGGGCCACATGTTTTAAATTGCAATATTTTACACCCACGAGTCACGACCCACATGAGGAATATTATTGATTGAATTATATAAATTCATAAATTACGTAGCTATTTAATATGTGCACATTTGATATTTGTTTTTAACAACATGACGCCCACTCAAACAAACGTCCACTTGTACCCTATATTTGTTATACCATCGGGGTGACCATGTAGAAAGTAATTAATGTATTAGAGCTGAGTACACAACAGACTTTACAATTTCTGCAACCAATTTTTATCTTAACTGTGAATAGAATATGAATAGAAAAAAACACTGCAAATATTTTAAAATGAATTTCGAAACAAAAAAGCACGCAGTATTAGAAAAAATAAAATTGCAATACCCAAGTGTAACTTGAAAATATTCAAGGAAAATGATTTTACACCGCCATTTAGATTTTTTAATAAATTACCATTGAATCTAATCTGCTAATGAATAATAAAATGCTAACAGAAAATATTATATCAATGGCTTTAAGACAGGAAAATTCGACTCAAAAATACATGGAATCGAACCATTAGCATTCTAAGAGTAATGATTAATGTAATTTAAAATCTAATGAATATATAATAATACTATTTATTGATAATAAAACTGATATAAATATAAGAATGTCTTTTATATGGATCTTTTATATTATTGTTACTTTGTTATAAACATTTGCGACATAGAATACTATTTGGTTTTGAAACAAGAAATTTCCAATGTATATATATTTTATTGCGCAAATAAAATACTTTGACTTTAGATTAAGACCTAAAATTAAGAATTGAATTACCTGAAGTGCTATCAATGTACAGTAAACTTTATATACATAATCAATAAACTTTATTTCATTAAAGTAATAAATATAAATAGTCCAGTGGTTCGCACACCGGTTTGGAGGTGTCGTCATCATCTGTAAAGTTCGATTCCCGGATTCCCGGTAGAGTTAATGCAAGAAAAGGACTTTTCTACATTGTATCTGGTCTGGATGTTGAAATCTGAGTGATGTGTGTGATTTTGTCTAAGGTCAATTTCTGGCTTAGAGTTATCCTTATACCAAATTTCATCAAAGTCATCCATGTGCCCGAGAAAGAATTCAAGCCCGTAACTCGTCGATGCCTCACCGGGAGATAATTCTAGCAATTGAGCTACCTATTACGCCACTTTATCACAACTTAATTAATTCAGTACTTGTGTATACTTTGGTAATTGTATCATTATGTTTTTCTTATTCATTAAGTGCTCGTAAATCTTTTTTATATAGTTAATTGCATACCGTCATACCACAATAATATGACAAAAATAATATTTTATATTTTTAATAAAAAATGTTTAAATAATCCACCAGCTCCGCGAGATTGAACTCGAACGAGTAGTCGCCCGGATTGCGAAAGTTTGTGGGTTCGAGTCCCATCTCGTGGCACGGGGTATTATTTAAGCAGTTGTCATTAGAAATATTTTTCAGTATGGAACACAGAATTGTAGATATATCACAAAAACAATATATTCACAAATATCCTGGATCTATAACTTCGCATGGTAACCACAGTGGGCTTTGTGGCGTGTTTAAAATTAGACAAAATCGATATGAAGGGACGGAGGCTGGATCTCACTCGCGGACAGCAGATTTGTTATGAACACACGATTTTATTACAATTTTAAATACGCATATTTAATATAAGATAATTTTATATTACCTATGGAAACTTATTGTGTATTGAACTATTTCGAACGGGAAATGCGTGTTTATATTTGATTTCATTACGTTTTGGACCCTTTACAGGTTCACTTAAATGATTAGGAAGGTACTGGCTCCCATCATACAGTTCAAACTAGTATGGGAGGCCCTGTCTCATAATATTGTACTGTTATTGGAAATATAATACTTATTATTATTAATACTTAAGACTAAGATGTCGATTGTATATTTCCAATTATGTGTATCTTCAAAACAATACTATTGAGTACATTCATTATACAAAATTTTTATATTTATATGGACGTTTACATTTACTAAATTAAATTATTATAACAATAACATTTAATTTATTGTACGATTATTTACTTCTGACTACTGTAAACTACCGTTCTGAAAATAAACTCCGACAAGAAGAGAAGTAGTGCGTATGAAAATAAAATAAATCAACATTTTATATCTTTTAAAATTCAATATACTCGTATTTTACGTGCTAGCCTTGTGGCTGAATAAGTTGGATTATACCTTACTTTGTGTATTGTAATGGACTTTATTCATAGCACAGAATAAGTTGAATTTAAAGTTTCATTTGATTGAACGTCTAAGCTGTGACAGACAGCGCTGTATTCGACATTGAGTTCGATACTATCTTTTTACAGAATAACAAAGATATCATTTTCATTTATCGCGTTTATAAAAGATTAAGATGTTTAATAATTTACAAGCTTTTCTGAAAAATAGAAGAAAGAAACCAACCATTATTTGAAAATATTATTAGAATTAAAACGAGACAAAAGTTACATAAACTAAAATATTCATAATTTAAAAGAATCAGGCGTTATTTTGCGGAAGGCGAATAATTATGAAATGTAGCATCTGCCACTAATGTTCGATGCTCAGTCAGTCCGATAAAACGCACAGATAAATGAATACACAAACAGCTTTACATGTAGAAATGTAGAGATATAAAAGTCAAATTAACTTATATCAATAATTAAAATTCATAACACCGCCATTTACACAAAACTATAGCGTCATCTATTAGATACTAATTGAAACAAAACTCCATAGTAGCATTTTATATACTCAGTCAGTATCCGCGAGGCTTGCTGTGTACCGCCCCACAAATTCACATGTACAAATGGTAACAATTCTCACAAATGCTTCCTTCCACAGAGCATCCTCAGGAGTTGTTAGACGTTACATTCTATAGTTTTATGGTTAATATAATAATGTCAGTAAATTGCTTATCCAAGCAGTCATCTCTTACTTGAATAGGAACTAAGTAGATCCGCATATTGAGCACTCGATAAGCTTATGAGTGAGTACACTTACAGACGTAAACGAGAAAAATATGGTTGTATAATCGGCTCTTTTTTTCACGGCAAAAATTTCGGTGTACCCTTTTTAGGGTTTCGCACATGAAGGGTATTACGGGACCCTATTACCAAGACTCCGATGTTACTCACTCTCATGAATTGTGATAGCGCAGATAATGTATATGTCTGTTGCCTCTATAACAACAAATACTTAAAATAGATATTTAAGGTGGGGTCCCAAACAAAAAATGCGTTTTTAATTTTTTTTTAATAAGATAATTATACGGAACCCTGGTTTTATAATATAACTCTCGCCCCTCTGTTCCTCTTCAGACGAAAAATAAGATATAAAATTTAACGAGCGTCAACATTATCATTTTATTTAAAATTCTTACCAATTATTACAATATTTAATCGCCATTACGCAGAAGAAAGTTGGATTTCGTAGCCAATTTCAAACTAACTCGTCAAAGATTATCCAATGTCAATGCCAATTCACCCGTATTACCCACAGGATTAAGTTTAATTTGAATTAAAATCTATAATAAATTATTCAAGGTTGAGTTTATTGACAAATCGAATTGAAACTTCATTATTGTCTGTACGTCTAGACATCGCGATAAAATAAATCAGGTGTCTTTAACCGACAAAAACTAAGGAGGCTAGCAAGCGTACACTTCGCTGTGTGTCACCAGGAGCTGCAGTCTCGACATTAACAGCAGTACGGTCGAAAAGTATCGAATGTCAAATAATATCGAAAATAATTGTTACTTCAAATGCAAGTCTCTGTTACCGTGTTACCGAGCAAAATCGTAATCTAATCAGACGATAACTTATCGAATATCCATAGTGCAGTTCAAGTACAGTTTCTCAAAGAAGAAAATGTTGCCTCAGAAAGAAATATTTTAAATCTAAGGCAATCAAAACAAGGTATTTCGTTTTTAAGTAATGATTTCATATTCAATTTTGCAAATAAAATCTATAAAAATGCTTACTGGAAAATGATTGCTTTCTATTCATTTTACAAGTGTAACTTATCATTAAATGTGTTGTCATTCGAATACTATTGGAAATTAAAATTTATATTTGATAACTTTAACTGGAGAGACTTGCAATATTCGTTCGTAGTAGTATGTGTTAGCGAACGAATTCGGCAACATTGCGATTGCAAACTGTGTCGAAACTGCAGCCCCAGGCGGTATCTGGTATTCACAGGTGACGTATAACCAGTGCCGGATTCCTAAAAACACGACACAAGTAATCTGTAACTTGAGTTTTTTTGGCAGTTTTTTTTTATGGGATAGGGGCAGACGAGCAGACGGATCACCTCTGATGGTAAGTGATTACCGTCGCCCATGGACACCTGCAACACCCGAGGGGCCACAAGCGCCCTGACGGCCTTTGAGGGAAGAATATGAGGGAAGGGTTGAGGGGTCGAGGAAAGGGAATAGGGAGGGGTTGGGCCTCCGGTACCCTCACTCACACAACGAAACACAACGTAAGCGTTGCTTCACGTCGGTTTTCTGTGAGGCCGTGGTATCACTCCGGTCGAGCCGGCCCATTCATTCTGTTCATACTTTAAATTATGACTAGTCAGAAGCGTGGATTACTTTATTTCTCGCATTATTTACCACTGACTTGAAAAATTAGTTGGCTCTGAACCACAGCGAGGCTCTCAATTGCATGGCCCGTAGCATTTGCTACTTTTGTTACGTTGCCGCTTCAATAACAAATACTAAAAACCAGAATAAAATAAATATTTACGGGACTCCTATACGACAAAAGCGTTTTTTTTGCTGTCACCAGGCTCTATCTCATGAATCGTGATAGTAAAACAGTTAAGACTTTCACTGATGATGTATTTTTGTTGCATCTATAAGAGGCCATCCATTAATCACGTGAGGTCTGAAAGGGGGGAGGGAGGGGTTCATCAACGATCATGAAATATCACAAGGGTGGAGGAGAGGGGTAGTAATATATCACTTGTATTTATTTTTTCTTCAAACATGCGATTACTAAACCGAAAAGCGACGTCAAAAATTAAGATTTCATGTAGATTTTAAAAAATACACGTAATTTGGGTGGAGGGGTGGGGGGGTCGTTAATTTTTATACCTCACCGTGTATCACCAAGGAGGAGAAGGGTTCAAAAATGCTGAAAAAACATCACGTGATTAAAAAATAGAAAAAAAGCACGTAAAATAAATATTTAAGAGGAACTCCCAAACAACGAAAGTGATTTTTTGCTCGTTTTCGGTAACGGATCTCTTCGTGCGCGAGTCCGAATGGCACTGGACCGGTTTTCTATGTTTAATATAAATAGATTGACTTTAAATTAATATATTCTAGTGTAAATAAAAATTCTGTAAATTAATAAAGTCTAGGAAATAAAAAAAAACTCACTTGATAAAATAATTGGTACTCGGTGTCTGTGAGTCGCAACGCAACCTCCTCCGGGAAGTGTAGGAGACTCCTCAGGGAGGCTAGCTCTTCGAAACTTGAGTCCTCTGGTATAGAACCTGAAAAATAGATGAGATGTTTAAAAGGTTTATAATAAAAATACGACTTTTGCTTTTAGAAAAATGGTCAAAATCAAAATCATCAAAATCAAAATCTATTTATTGAGTTTAGGCTTTTACAGAGCACTTGTGAAAGTCGAAAACTAGGCCATGGGTTCGCAAAACTACGGCGGGAGACCTTGTACTGAGAAGAACCGGCAAGAAACTCAGCAAGGGCTGTTTTTTTCTCCCTGTTTTATTTCACACAGAGAAGTCTTATTGAAAAGTGACTTCATTAGAATATGAAGTCACTTTCCATTACAATATTAGAAAGTAAATACAATCAAGTTAAAATATCTAACACTATGCCTTTTTGTCATTTAGATATTCCTTAAAGTCAAGTGCATGTAGTTTTGTATGTACATAAATAATAGTTTTTTTGCAGAACTGTTATAGTATCGAATTCTAAGTTTTTTATTAATTTATTAGGAAGACCGAAGAAACGATGAATAGGCTGTGTTAAAGATGATATGCGAAAGAGAGGAGTGAAAGTCGATACGTGGGCTGATCGTGATATATGGAAAAATAATATTGCGTCGACACAAATACAATAATTGGGACAAGGTTATGTGAATTATCAGAATATTGAGAGCTATATATATTGATAATATAACTTATATTACCTATATTTATTAATATTGTGACGCGAAGTAACTTCATTGTTAAGAAGAAATAAAAAAGGGAGATAAAAGCGGCCCTTGCTGAGTTTGTAGTCGTCTTAGAAATTTGACTTTTGCAAAAACCTTGGACTAAATAAATTAATTTGATCTGATAACTCCTTTGTTTTATATTATACGATGAGCTTACTGTTTAAACAGTCTTTTATTTATTGTAATCTTATCTTTACTTCATCATAATTACTATAATAGTAATAAAAAACTTAACGATCGAACACATAGCGTGCTAAGTTATTACATAAGATAGACATCATGTTTCTATGTTACAAATTACCGCTACCTATCACGGAATCTTCCACTTTTGGTAGATTAGGCGGTAAATTTTTTGAGTCTCCGAAAAATAAATATTAAAATTTGTCTTAACACTGAGATCGAATGAATAGACATGGGATTCAAGGTTTTCTTTACACCGTGCCATACCATGATCGTGTAATGAACGTATCAAGAACGATATACACTATACGATTTAGGGCAAAAGACTCCGTTTTGGCCACTGCCCCCTTTTTGGCCATTTGGAACTTCAAGGCGTCTTAACTAATGCAAAGAATATATTACTCTATTTTGTTTTGAATGTTTTGTTATTGCAAAACAAATACCATTAATAGCTGTGACACGTCAAAGTTTACTTGCTCGTAACTCTCAAAATGGCCAAAACTAGGTCATGATTTGAAAATGGCCAAAACGGGTCAAAAAGGGTCATCTGCCCTATTATGTCTAATACAGGGGGACTTTATCGCCATAGTGTATAGCTACGACTCTAGCTGTAGCTATAGGAACTTTATTCTTTTTATGTACCTATTTCATTACAATATTTTTTAATTATTCAGTTATGGTAATAGCTTTGGGTCTAAATTATAATTAAAAAAAAAACACTATAATAAAAACATTATAGATAATAAAGCATTCTTATAGCTATGACTAGAGTCGTAGCTAGAGTTGTTGTCGAACTGTGAATTAAAACGAGTGGAATGCCCGTATGATAACTCTTTTACAAAAAACATATTACCTATTTGTATTACTAGATTAGGTATTACTTGATTATGCAACTCCCAGCGTGCAGAGTATAAAAAAGAAGAAAATATCGATGAAGTACCTGCAAGGTCTACTGAGACCAGCAAAATTTTGAAAGTGGTCTTCTAGTCACCACGCAGCGTGATGATCGCTAGATGGCGTTGTGCGGTGTTGAATCGCGCACACTAAAGAACTCTTACGCGTTTATGTAGATATAGGACGGCAGAAAAAAAAACGGTTGTTAGGGAGAAAGGGAAAGGTGGCGGTTCTAGAAATGTTTTAGATCGCTCCACAACATAAAAGCAGATCTGCCCTTCCCAGCTTAAACATCCAGAGATCTATCTAAGCTTTTTAGTTACGTTTTAGAATTATTTTGGAAATTTTCTTGTGTGTGTACATAGATTGTCGGATTATGCATTTATATGTATTAGTGATGTGCCGCTTCGATTATTATTAACATCGATTAATCGATTATAAAATTACACGTAATCGATTAATGAACGATAATAATCGATTCATGTCAACGATTGTAAAGTTTTTTGTCCCAAAAGTTTATCAATGATTTCAGATTAATTCCACCATATTCTAAAGCCATCCAAGTTAATGAAATCAATTTTAAGACAATGTTTACTATACCAGCATTGTGCATACAAAATTTATAGAATTAAACTAGCTGTACCCGCGATTTCGTCCGCGCAGAAAGTAGCCTTAGTCATTCCTTAATACATAAGCTATCTGCCAGTGAAAGGTCCGTCAAAATTGGTCTAACCGTTTCAGAGTTTAGCCGGAACAAACAGACAGACAATAAAATGTAAAAAATATTATTTTAGTTTAGGTATATACCGTGTTTACATGTGCATTTAGTAAGAAACGGTTAATTTATATTTGTAATGATAAAACTGTAAGATCCGTTCATTCATTCATCGGGAGTTCCCCGACCAAAGATTAAAGTTTCCTATTTGTTGGTGGGAGTTTTCCAGGGTTGCTATAATAAGTAATAGGATATCTACTAATAACATTCATCGATCTCTACCAATCACACTTGCGATCCGCTATGGGTTGCTAAGCCATCGATGTAAATAAAGTAAGTGGTACTATGCTAACGTTATAAACCATTCCTATTGCTAACGTTTTAAGAAATAATCGTCGATTATAATCGGTAGCAATTAATTATTTGAAAAATCGATTAATCGATTAATGGTAATCGAATCCGCACACCATTAATATTTATCCTGTACCCCATCTCACAATAGTATGATACGATGAATTTGAGTAGTAATTTATAAAGCGATTGCGTTACCTTCCTCATTTTCGAAGCCATGGCTGGACTGGGCACCACTAGGGCCGGGCCTGGACCCGTCTCGCATCTCACAGCACTTCGTGTCTATAATGACTTTGTAACTACTCCACTAACAGTCCACACTACACTATTGTTGCACTAAGATTTTAAGATCAGCGCCCTACAGCTAGCGTCGTGCACTATTAGTTCAGTACATCGCCATCTAGCGGGCGGTGGTGTAGTCTTCATGATGGGGGCATCTCGGTGTGCGTTATCCGCTTAACTGTTTTCATTGGTGGTTAGTTAACTGTAAAGAATGAGAAATATATTAATCTCTGTAGTTAATCTATACTAATGTTATTAAGAGCTAACATTTGTTTGATTTTTGGCATAAAATAATAATATATAAAATTCTGTGCAAGGTATGCTCAATTATTGAGATATTTAATATCACCGGAGACTTAAATCATAAAATAAGATATCAAAAGTTATAATAAGAATGAAATTCCAAATTTTCAGAACTTCAGAAGGCCCACGCTCGCAAGCTTCGTTACTTTATTGGAGCGTCAGATATTTATATTTAGCGTGATTTCTTAAGTATATCTAAAAAAATATATGTAAAATTATTATGTAAAGTGAGTGTGTGTGTGTGCAGTAAAAAGCTATAGAATAAAAATAAAATAATTATTGATGACTGTTTGTGTCCCAAAATTTTACTGAATTCGTTTAAAGTTTACATTGCGAATTTTTTAAAGCTTCTGTATTGTTTCATCAATTATGGAAATAATAAATGTTGCGCGACTATTATTAATTCCATAATTTACGTAGCATGTTGATTTATTGATTTGTGTGCAAGGTATGCTTAATTATTGAGATATTTAATATCACCGAGAGACTTAATATAAGATATCAAAAGTTATAATAAGAATGAAATTCCAAATTTTCAGAACTTCAGAACGCCCACGCTCGCATGCTTCGTTACATTATTGGAGCGTCAGATATTTATATTTAACGTAATTTCTAAAGTACATCTAAAAAATATAAGTGTAAAATTATTGTGTAAAACAAGTGGCGGTGCGGTAAAAAGCTATAGATTAAAAAATACTAATTATTGATGATTGTTTGTGTCCCGAAATTTTACTGAATCCTTTTAAAGTTTGCATTGCGAATTTTTTGAGGTTTCTGTATTGTTTCGTAATTTATTTACGCAGCATGTTGTGTAATTGATTTGTGAATTTACCAATATTTATGTGTTTACATAGACGATTTAATGATATGATCTTTTTAAAATATCATTGCAGATATATATTATATTAAGTGTTCTTATACACCTCTTAAAATTTTAGATGAACTTAAAAATATACCATGTTTATCTCAAGGCTGGCCGTAAATACAAAAGAGCAAACGAGACAATAAGATAGAAGATAGATGATGGCGTTAGTCCTGTTCGGTCCTGGGCAGCTCAGTGGTAAAAGCAGACACCCGCATTGCGAAAGGTCATGGTCTAATCCAGAGTTCGTGGGACAAAGTGGATTTTTTTAAAGGATTTTCCATTATGAATAACTCTCAATATAGCATTGTGAATACAAAATATATCAAATATAATAACTATTTCTAGTTCATTGATTGCGATCTAGATGGCGCTGTGGTTATCGCGCTCGGTCTGCGGTACGGTTGTTAAGCAACTTTCGCAAGTGTCAATCATAGGATGGATGACCAAAAATATATATTATGTCAAGCTCCTCCGTGCAGCTGCCAACGGCTTAATGCACTGAATGCATTAAGCCGTTCGTCCCAGCTGCAACTGCCACTAAAATCCACCAATCCGCACTGGGTTCGCGTGGTGGGTCAAGGCCCATTCTACCTATTTGATTGCATTCATGGTGATGGTGACTCGCAAACTAACACGATTTCTGTAAAAGTCCGTAAAGCAATGGCAAATATCACTTATCTTATTCTATGATATGTGAAAACTGATATTGGCCTTAATGTTTACTTTGCGGTAGTCCATAGATAGATAGATAGATAACTCTTTATTGTTGACATTACACTATTTACAGTAACAAACATAAATTAAACTTAATTAAAATGCAAACAACTGGCGGCCTTATCTCTAAAATTTCTTCCATGCAACCTTTGGATGGAGAAAGAGATAGTCATTATAACAGAGACGGGGGTGTACATGTGAACAACAATATACAATTAAGTGCAACAATGAATATAAAATCACACAAACTACATACCTACAGTAAATATTTATATAAATATTATATTATATAATAATAATCACATACATCTATATAAACTACATATATAAATATTATTTTATGTAACACTGTTTGTTTCAATAATAAATAAATATAAAACAAAGCCCCGATGCATAGTAACTCACTAAATATATATATATTCCCTGCAAAAAAAAGGAATAGAAAAATATGTGAATTTCAATGTAGATGAATGTTTTATAAATTAACTTTGTCAGAGTGACAAAACCGTTACAAATACGTTGTGTACTTTCATAATTTTTAATTACACCTCATTTTGACTTTTACAAAACTATTTATTTGTAATAGTGATCTATTAGGAGTAGGTTGCATAGTCCTCACTGACGCATTAATTTCATAGGCTGAACAAATCTTGACTAAATCAAGGTTTAATCATAGAAAAAAATGAGTTAAAACAAAGTTAAACACAATTGCACACTCAACTTTTATAGAATATTTGAAACACAGACTCTATAGTTTTAACAGTCGCACGTCTAAACAGAGCTATTAAGCCGTGAAAGAAAGAGCAACTGAGCACAAGTTGCTGTACACTCACTTAATATACGACGGTCAGAAGTGACACATTTTATTAAGCTTCTTTTTTATTATTAGTTATTATTGTTACAATAATGCTCCATACTACATCTGGTGTGTGAGACATTTATATTTAATTACAATCATCATGTAAATGTGGAACAGACAAAATGAAAATATGATATGATACTCAGAATAATGTATAGAATATTATTTTAATTTTATATCTATGTAAAAGGGTATAAAATATTGATATAAAACTTGTTCAGTAGAGACAGATCTTAAACATCACCTTAAAATAAATTCCTGCATGTGGTTAAATGACATTTAAAGCCTTCATTAGCTTCATATTGGACCTTTTGTATCAATTTGCAGACTCCGTGGTCACTAAATTGAGACGTTCATCAGCCTATTAATTTTCTTGCTGCTGAGGCACTAAGTCACCTATTAATATTTAACCACACAGAAACAACGGGTCATTACTACGCGGGTCTAGTGCAGATTGGCGGGTGTCTACGATTGCAGTAATGGCCAGAAATAACGACTTAAAGAACGTTTATGGATGAACTTAAAATATAATAAAATTTCGCCCATTTCCATTCCATCTGAATTCCAAGAACATGCCTTAATTTAAGTAAATTTTTTTGTTAACTATAATTCAGAGGTCTCAAACGATTGATATAGTGTAACAATTACAATAATCATAAATGCAAATCGAATTAGTATAATAAAAATATTTATATTGCTGATCTCAATTATAGAAATGAATAAAAATGTGCTAATATTATTAAAAACAATACAACATATCTGTTGCACATCAATTCTAGTCATGATAAGGGCAATGAAATAGCAATTCAGAAAAATCCTTATTTAAATAAAGCGGCTCATAATGGTTATTATATTTTTCTCTCGCTTCGAATCGATCAAAGTAATTTATAAGTACCGATTATAAAACGAGTCTTTATAAAAAAAGAACTCCTAAAAATGGATTCTTTCGCTAAACTTTTATTTTTTACAAAGACTTTCTTTACGGAGGTCATTAAAAGAAATTTTGCCCCAGATTGTATCCCTGTGGGACCCTTAAGAATTCGAGATACGCCTTTTATATTATTTTCGGAACGTTCAAGATATTTTTTCGTTGTTTTCTTTAAGGAATACCTTTCATTCTTGTAATAACATTTTCCCATTATCTTATCATAAACAAAACAGTACAAAAAACTGAAAAGTACTCGAAATCACGTAATTCAAAAGCATTACACGGGTCAAGAAACATTTTGAGTAATTAATTACATTATTCGTTTTTTGTCTCTTCTAATTGTGAGGCTTATTATATGCTAAATCTTGACTTTGAGGTCGTAATAAGTATAATTTATAATTATATTATTATCAGAAAACTATAGCATTTTCATAATGTGAAAAATTGTGAAATCATTTAACTGATTTGTCGACCTCCGCGATCCAGTGGCTTGTGCGCCGATTTCAAGGCGACGACGACATCTCTGAAGACCTGGGTTTGATACCTGGTCGGGTCAACATAGAAAATGAAGTTTCCTGTATTGGCTCAAGTCTGGGTATTGCTATACCCACTTTTTCAGAAACCAGAATAATATACCTGTCAAATAGTAAAATATGATTTTTAAATACCGTCCAAGAATACATTATAAAATTCTCTCTTTTTTACAACAATATTTGGTATTAATACTTCTGGAAGAAATACATGTTATTTTGGAAGGATTTACAAGGAAGCACTATTTATCAAAATATAATCCACCTGTGACAAAAAATAATACCAGGAAAAATCCGCAAAAAAAAAAGAAAACACTCGTTCCCTAAATGTACTTACGAGTGGGAAACACCGTCGAATCCTTATCGAGTTTCTCTAAGCTCACGTATTTCCGAAAATCGAACCTGCGGGAAATCATTGCCGGTTGAAAATGGATCTGGGTGTGAAAAGGAACGGTCGCAGCTGTGACCCGGATATTCGATACTACAGTGTGACACATAAAACACTGTTGTTTGCTTCGTTTGTTAGGTGGAAACGCTAAATCGAAGGTGAAAGACTAGAACTTCATTACTACTAGTGTGATATATCATAGGAAGATTTTCCCGATATCCATTTACACGCAAAAATCCAGTCGGCAGAATTTCTTTCACAACATTTAAGAAGCTACGTTATTTCATTCAAATTACACAAAATTGAAAACTGGCGCTTAGGCCAAAAATAACCGATTTTCGTTTGATTTCTAAACTATCATATTTATTCTTCACACAAAAAATATGAAAAAATACG